ACCAAAGCCATCAACCTCTCAGCAGGTAACACCTCCAATTTCACATCACCACCACCACCTTCATCTTCGTCATCACCACCTTCCTCCTCCCCCACTACTCTGAGCCGCTACGAGAACCAAAAGCGACGCGACTGGAAAACGAGAAGATTCGGCGTCAATGGTGAAAACGAGAAGATGAAAATCGGTGGAAATGGGAGGAAAATGAGATTGGGGCCGGAGCACAATTTTTTAATCACTTCCTGCCACGTCAACTTTAATGAAAAACACTTTCACTGCCACGTCATGAAGGTAAACAGCCACGTTGCACAGGATCGTTAAATATTTAACGCCGTGACCAAAAAGGATTAACTTGAACACTTTTTTCACAAATTTGGACCACATTGAACTTTTTGAAAAAGGTAGGACGAAATTGAACATTTCCCTTATAAAAAGGGACAAAAACAGGTATTAAGCCTAATTTTTTTAACCCTCTTCGTAACTTTGAGTTGTTTAAAATCATATAAAAATGTTTACATAACTAAATTTTAATATCGAAGGTATTTGAATAATTTTATTTTCAAAACTATAAAAACAATAAATCCTCCAAACTCTTATTCACCTTTCTCTCATCCCTCATTCCTTTCAATCCTTTTGTTTTTCATCTCTTTTACTTAAACATTTTCTCTCTCATCCTACAGCCTCAATCCGTCAGCCATTGTTTCTCCAATCTTCACAAACCTCTCCAATTTCATCATCTTGGGATGTTGAATCATCATCTCTAAAAAGCACTACAGGCTAATTACCAATTCTTTCATATGTCATTATGCTTGTGAAAATTTGGAGAAAAATCCAACCTAAAAATATAGTAAAATAAAATAAATAAGAGTAATGATTTTTCACAAAGTTATGATTCTTCATCTTGTAAATCAACATATTTTAACTGAAAGCATATATGTAATAGTCAAAGTATCAAACCTCCTTGAAGCTGCTTCTAAAATTCAAAAATGAAATTTAATAACAACCAGAAGAGAAAAAATATAACACCACCCTCCAATCAAAAATCAACATCAACATCATCAATTATTTTGTTACAATTATTTTGTTATTAAAGTGACAAACAAATAAACGAACAAAACAAATTGCAGTGTTGCGAGTTGTTGTGTGTGGGTGAGAGAGAGGATGGAGATGAGAGAGAAACAAATTAGACAAGTGAGGAATCTGGACTAGGATTAGATAGATGTTTCTGATTTTTTTTTATCTTTTTATTTTAAATTAAAAATAAGATTTATTAAAATACTTTTGTGTTTAAAGTATGTCTTTCTTTATATACTAAAACTTACACTTTATTAAAATATACCAACTAAAAAAAGAGTTTAAATATATAAATATATATATTATCAGTATCACAACGGGTTTGTTAAAAGATTTATTTTATAAAACTCTCAATTATTCAGGAATGTAAATTAATTTAGTATTAAAATCAAAATGCATTAGTTATAGTGATGAAGATTTATCAACTATCCATTAAACCATTATCAATCTGATTTCTAAACATATTAGTTAATTATTGAAATAAAGTATTAGTTTCAAATAGTTTCATACTAAATCATCAAAAACATTCACATCTCAATTGTATTGAGACTCGAAATCCATAATAATTTGTGATCACAAAAAATTTTATTAAAAAGAAATACTTATTTAAAATATCATTTACAAAAAACTTATTTAATATTCATTAGATAATAAAAAAAAATTATTCAAACAATATGAAGTAAAAATAAGTAATTAAAAGTTAAAATGAGAAGTTTCTCTTATATACAGAGATTATTTTCTTATTACATTTAGCTACTATTTTTTACTTTAATTATTTTTTGATTTAACAATATATTATTTAATGAATACCATACCTTAAAAATTAATTCACAATTATAAAAAAATGGACGAATGAATTTAAAGTACTTTAAATTACAAAAATATTTTTAATCATATTTTTTGTTATTTTGACTTCAATTATTTTCTAAATTAAAACAAAAAAAGTGAAAATAGAATAATTTTATTTAAGTTTTATATGTGATATTTTATTTGATAAAATACTAAATGANTTACAATTTAATTGGTTTTGCTACATATTCTTCTAAGAAGATATTAATTTGTTTTTTTTAACTTTTATGTCGTATTAACGTCTATTAAATATAAATTCTAATTTAAATAAATATTATAATTTACCCTCAAAGTAAATGAAAAAAGCATGTTCATCACAAAGTAAAAGAAAAAGAAAAAAAAACTTAAATAAAGAAAAATAACTAAAATAAGTGACAATGACAATAATTCTAAACAAAAAAAATATCACGGGTCACTAATGTTTAACTATTTTTACCATTATAGCTATATTCCTCATTAAAGCATTTCAACTAAAATATGGTTTACTATCCAATTTTATCTCCAGTTTAGTTGGCAAATATCAATTTAGTCTCTCGTTAGAAAAGTGTTTGAAATGGGTTCTTATTTGTAAATTTGTGAGTCAAATTAGTCCCTTCCGTTAAATATAACCAAACAGAGTTAATGGGATGATGATGTGGCAGTAGTTAGTGGTTACATGTGAAAATATAATTGTTTGTGTGCAAGGTTACGTGTTGGTTAATTAGAGAAGTGTTTCATTAAGAAATTGGGTTTTTTAAAATCAATTTCTCCATTCTCAGTCAAGATAGCAACTCATATTCAACCATCGCCATAACCATCTTGCCACTCACAACTACTACCGGCACCTCTTCACCATCTTCACCTCCATGTCCATTCTCATCCTTCTTATCATACTTTTCTCCTATTTCCCCTGCTTTCAACCAAAAACATAACACACCAAAAACAGATTAACAATCCCAACCAACTCATTCTCCATCTTCAATCCTCAATTCTCAAATCATTCAAACCTTCATTCTCTCTGTAAATTCAATTCAAATTCAACCCCACCATTCATTCCTTCCTCAAGCCTCCCAAAAAATAGCTTGAAACACACCACACACAAAAAAGAATCCCATAAAACTTCACAGACACACAGGTACACACGAAGAAGAAAAACTCAACGAGGAATAAAAAAGTTCAGTTTTTTCTTTAGTGTGATCATCGTCGATGGCCACAGGACCCGAAAGATCGAAACCACTACACAACTTTTCGTTGCCCTGTTTGAAATGGGGCACCAACGGTTACTTCGCTGCGTCAACGCCGACCTCGATTGTCGATCCTCGAGATTCGACGCGCTCCTGAACGACGTCGTTCGAGTCCCCAAGAAGCGCAAAATGAACGACGGCGACGCTGTTTTCTTGGGAGGACTCGGAGAAGAAGCTAGTGGCGTGGCCAACCATGCCTTGATGCCTTGGAATTTGAGAACGAGAGAAACCCCAACCAAGCTCGGTGGAGGTGTGGGCGGCGACTAGGGGCTTAGTCTCCAATGGCAACAGCGATAAACCCGACAGGAGCGGACCACAGTGGCGTCTCCATCGTTGTTGTGGAGTTGAAAAGGAGGAGAGAAACCCTAACGTTTGGAAGAAAAGAAAGGGGAACTCTGATGGTTCCCCAGGCCGCAACAAGCGTTGTCAGCGACAACGACCTTGTTTGATGCAGTTGCGGCGACGACTCTGGCAACGGAGAATGGTGGGAGGCACGACGGTGAGGGCGCAGCATGGAGAGGAGAGAGTACTTCTCTAGCGCGCGAAGAGAGGCATGAGAGGATAGGTTGGCGCAGTGGTCGGCGGTGACTCTGACAACGATCGGTGTCACCGACGACAGTCTTGGCCGGCCAGTGGGATGTGCGGCGGTGTTGGGCTGATGGAAGGCAGGGCTGCCACGGTTGGGAGTGAAGAAGAGACTCTAAACTTTGTCCCAAGAGAGAAAAAAGAAGAAACCCTAGTTTCTAATCTAAAGGAGCTTTGGGCCTATACACCAAAACTCTTTCTTCTCTAATTAATCAACACGTAAGCACGCACACAATTATATTTTCACACGTAACCACTAACTACTGCCACATCATCATCCCATTAACTCTGTTTGGTTATATTTAACGGAAGGGACTAATTTGACTCACAAATTTACAAGTAAGGATCAATTTCAAACACTTTTCTAATGAGTGATTAAATTGAGATTTGTTAACCAAACTGGGGATGAATTTGGGTATTAAACCTTAAAATAAAAATTATAACAATTTTAATAGCAAAGGATACATTTTCAAAAAATAAATCAAAATGGGTCCGGTGGTAAAATAACTCTTTAAATGGATTTGTTTGCTGAGCATTTCGGAAATTCAGTTCTATAAGAGCCCAATTTCCACTTCTAATGTGCAGCTCCGACCAGAAAAGTCCACCAAAAATTTAATAAGGAAAAAGTTCCTAAATTTATAAAAAACTTTTAATCAAGACATGAAAGTTTTCTGCTAGACTCACGTATACATTAGTTTTTCATCATGCATTTCACAATCTTTGATCTCATTTCGTTTTCAATCAAATGCTTCATATTATTCTTACTCTAGCTTTTCATAGAACTGTGTACAAATTATAGCAGCAAAAGAACATTAGGCAAATGAAAAATTACAACAGTGATTGAAGAGGTTATGAATTCATATACGAATCATCTCTACAACTAGCATAATAAGTCAATATACATTATACAAGCAGGATAGCAACCTTAAAAAAACACTGATAAAATACAAGCAACCATAATAACAACAGAATCAGACAAGCACTGATAAAAAAGATGCAACTATAGTCTAGCTTTTGGCACTGCTAGATTGAGCAAATAGTTCAAACAATGCATCACCTCAAATTCAGGGTTGGCTTCTTCTTATTCTTCTGCTGTTTTGACAAAATATGAGAGAAACGTGCAAATCCAAATTTATTTCTCTTGGTAGAAAACAGCTTACGGCTAGTTCCTTTCTCAATTTGTCTGTCAATTGGTGGATCAATGTTTTGTTTACCAAGCATCTGACCCAGAGACACATTCTGTTTCATTGAGATTCTTTCTCCAGCTTCACACTCTTGTGGTTGAAGCAGCTTTCTGCTAAGTATTTGTCCTATTGATAGGGTTGACTTTAGAACGGGCTTTGCTTCATCATTTACCAGATTTAATCCATTAACATCTAGTAACCGAGGATCTCTCCAATGATGAGAGGAACAAGAGGTTTTGAACTTGGTGGGGTTTTGTATAGAGCGTCTTTTGTGACCCTCCGAGCGCCAATTCCTTAAAGCCTCTTCAACCTCTACCTTGTCTCTATTTGCAGCTTCTACCCTTTCCAGAGCTTCTTCAAGGGCCTTCTTGCTGGTTTTAACTTCCTCTGTAGCTTCTTCTACCCTTTTCAAAATGTCCATGTTTGACAAATTTGTTTCATCAACTTCAAGCATTGCATTTGCAACTCTCTTCCTAGATTGTTCCTCTGCATCATGGGCTTTGCATGTCAGAGCGGTATACTCTTCAAATGAAAGAGTAATCTGATTTCCAGGTAAACTCTCATTTTCATGATTAGATAATGCATTAATTTCTACAAGGGCAAAAGCTTCTGCAGCTCTAGCAGCTTCTTTCATTTTTCTGGCTGCAACCAATCTGATTTCAGCAGTTCTTATCATGGTTTTTGTCTGTTCAATCTCGGACATGGTTCTCAGAACTTCTGCTTTTGCAGATTCTCCCATTATTTTGAAATTCTCGGCCTCAGAACTCAATCGCTGGAGCTCTCTAGTAATAACCGAAGGATCATCTGAAGCATCTTTAATTTCAGCCCCTTTTGCTATTTGCAGCCTTAATCTGGTATGGTTTAGCTCTTCCTCAAGAGAAGATATTTTTGAAGTATTTTGAGCTAACCTCTCACGTGTTTTCTCAAGTGAGATTCTTTCCTTCTCTAACTTCTTATTGAGCGATTCTACAGAAGTTCGGACATCAGCAAGATCAACAGTAGTTCTGGTTAAATTCAACTTGGCCTGCTTCAATTCCTGTAATATTAAACCCGGCACAGATGGAAGATGGGAAGCAAAACCTTGTCTGGAAGGCTGAAGAACATTCAATTGACTCATCTGGTTTTCCTTTTCTTCATTCTCTTCAACAACTGATTTTCTATCACATTCGCCAAGCTGAAGATTCAAGTTCACTTCAGACTGTTCCTTCTGTATCTTTGATTTCAATTCTTCAACAAGCTTTTTGGTACTTTCCAATTCTTTCAACACATCAAGAGTTTCCCTTTCTTTCAAGATCAGTTCTTTCTCCAATCCTGAAGCCTGCNGTGATTGAAGAGGTTATGAATTCATATACGAATCATCTCTACAACTAGCATAATAAGTCAATATACATTATACAAGCAGGATAGCAACCTTAAAAAAACACTGATAAAATACAAGCAACCATAATAACAACAGAATCAGACAAGCACTGATAAAAAAGATGCAACTATAGTCTAGCTTTTGGCACTGCTAGATTGAGCAAATAGTTCAAACAATGCATCACCTCAAATTCAGGGTTGGCTTCTTCTTATTCTTCTGCTGTTTTGACAAAATATGAGAGAAACGTGCAAATCCAAATTTATTTCTCTTGGTAGAAAACAGCTTACGGCTAGTTCCTTTCTCAATTTGTCTGTCAATTGGTGGATCAATGTTTTGTTTACCAAGCATCTGACCCAGAGACACATTCTGTTTCATTGAGATTCTTTCTCCAGCTTCACACTCTTGTGGTTGAAGCAGCTTTCTGCTAAGTATTTGTCCTATTGATAGGGTTGACTTTAGAACGGGCTTTGCTTCATCATTTACCAGATTTAATCCATTAACATCTAGTAACCGAGGATCTCTCCAATGATGAGAGGAACAAGAGGTTTTGAACTTGGTGGGGTTTTGTATAGAGCGTCTTTTGTGACCCTCCGAGCGCCAATTCCTTAAAGCCTCTTCAACCTCTACCTTGTCTCTATTTGCAGCTTCTACCCTTTCCAGAGCTTCTTCAAGGGCCTTCTTGCTGGTTTTAACTTCCTCTGTAGCTTCTTCTACCCTTTTCAAAATGTCCATGTTTGACAAATTTGTTTCATCAACTTCAAGCATTGCATTTGCAACTCTCTTCCTAGATTGTTCCTCTGCATCATGGGCTTTGCATGTCAGAGCGGTATACTCTTCAAATGAAAGAGTAATCTGATTTCCAGGTAAACTCTCATTTTCATGATTAGATAATGCATTAATTTCTACAAGGGCAAAAGCTTCTGCAGCTCTAGCAGCTTCTTTCATTTTTCTGGCTGCAACCAATCTGATTTCAGCAGTTCTTATCATGGTTTTTGTCTGTTCAATCTCGGACATGGTTCTCAGAACTTCTGCTTTTGCAGATTCTCCCATTATTTTGAAATTCTCGGCCTCAGAACTCAATCGCTGGAGCTCTCTAGTAATAACCGAAGG